CATGGATTATAGATGGAAATAGTTGTTTTAGGGTTTATTTTAGTTTTTTGTCTCATTCATTGACTTTGTTTGCACTTTGGACATGATGGTTTAGTGTTGTAATTTTACTTTTCTAACCCTCTAAGATTAGTATAAATAAAGGGGATTGACTTCTTATTTTTGCATGATCCATAATTAGATCTACTCAGGTTGTGTTAAATATAGCCGCCGGAAATAACGCACTGTTTGGTAGTGTTTAACTTATTCTTTTTATTCTAATATTAACTGTGGTAGTTTCTTACATCTCGTTCTTCACATTACATCACTTTATGCTCTTTACTTACTTACGTCTTTCGTTCTTTACATTATGTTATTTACTTTAAGTCATTTATATTTATGCATTTATATATTGTCGTTTACATTTTTTGCAATTTATTTTCCGTTATGAGTAGCTGTAGCTAATCTTATTAGCTTAGGTGTGAGACAAAAATGTGAAATTTTAAACCAAAGGAAGGTGGATGTTGTCTCACAATAACAACGTTCCACTATTTCACTTCAAGTTTTATAAAACCAATGACACTTCTTGACAAGTTCATCACTTTGAAAACTGTTAAAGTGTCGTGGACTCAGAGATGATCCACTCGAATGCACGTCAATTTGAAAGATATGGGAAGTAGACTTGAGAAAGTTACTAACAAAGAGATTTGTTATCCATGTTTCTCAAATTGGTTAATTCTCAACAAGTTGGTCACTTGTTGAAGTGTTAAAGTAGAATGAACTTAGAGATGAGCAATTCAGAACACATCAACTTGAATGATATGAGAATCCGCTCGAGAGATTTATTTTATATAAAGAGATTTATTATCCATATATTTTGAGAATTTCATTCTGCATTACCACTAGTCTGATACTGCATAGAGATGTGTCGTTGAATCTAAACATTAACGCAAATGCTGAATGTCCGGGAGGAATACCCTCATAATTGATGGTGGAACTAGTTACGACCCACTGTATGTCGTAGCATTGCTACAACATTGGTCTACTGGAATTTGTGCTTAAGTCTCACCAAAAATTCTTACACCCTTGCTTGCTTTATTATCTGTTGCTATAACTCAGTGTTAACTCACGACAAACAGAGTCTTCAAATTTGTCATCTGATATCATTTCCTTCACTATACCTTTATTACGCTTTTACTACAATCCATGTGGACGATACTCAGTATCTGTACCATTTTATTACTTCATAGAAAATATTAGGGCTATTTGTATACTTGCTTTTGGTCCTAATTGCCACGTCTGAGGGTGTGTTAAAGCGCTTGTCAACAGCACAAACTGCCAACATCACACCGCACCGCACCACAAAGCACGGTTTAGAACTTTCATGGTGCGGTTTGTATTTTTACCAAACTGCATTATACAGTGCAGTTTGCGGTTTTGGGTTATTAAACTGCGATCCAAACCGCACCGAACCGCATATTTTGTATTTTTAAATTTTATATATATATATATATATATATATATAATTTAGTATTTATGTAAAATTCTTGGACTTTGTGTTCGATCCAATTAGCAATATTAATAAATTAACTTAATATTTTTGTACTATTTTTAATTATACAATATGTATTTAGAAACCAGATGTATTGAAATTCTTTATTTTTAGGACTACGGTCACTTTTATCATTGATTTTATAATGTATTTTTAAACTTATAATTATTGGATTGTAAGCATAAAGTGCGATAGGGACAAATCGCAAAAACCACAGTAAAATCGAGATTTATGCGGAGCGGTTTGCGGTTTGAGAAAATGCTCAAACCGCATATGTGGTATGATTTGCGGTTTGACCCCAAAACCGCACCACAAACACCCCTAGTAAAAATTGCTATTTTAATTAATTTCCCTCAAGATTATTCTATGAACCTCATTTTTCATTTCCATTTATAAATATAACTTTAATTTATATATGATTACATAGTTTTGATATATGTACATACATATATTATAAATTAATTAAACCATAATTATTAATTTTAATTTGTTAATATATAAACGAAACCATTTGGGTAAATCGTACAAACAATCTACAACCATTGATTTTATAGATTAAGGGTTAGGATTAATTGAGTTTAATTATGTAAATAATGAAAAAAATTTAATAGACTTCATTAAATAAGAGAATCAAAGGACAAAATTGAAAAAATGAAATTGATCTTTAATCATGGAAAGTAATAATTTCGTGTTTATTTTTTATATTTAATTTTTGATATTTCAATTTAACATCTATAGCTTATTATATTTAATGTATCCGTTTCATAAGGTCCATGCAAAGTTTAAAACGGCGTGTGAGTGACGTGGCGGCGACCTCAAGCCTTACAAGCCCGATGAGACAACGACGTTTTTTAGAGCATGACATAAAACGGCCAGTTTGTATGACACACACACATATGTTTTCTATTTAATATTTATATTAAAAAACTTACATTCATATAATTTAATTAATATTATATAAAAAAAATTATGATCAGATATTCAAAATAGAACTTGGAAGGGTTATACAACTTCGTTTTAATCGTGAGTCCGCATGACACATGAATCCAAGAAAAGTGTGAGTGATGCGATTAACTAAGTTTGTAAAAATATAATATCTTAAGTTAAAAGTGTAAAAACATAAAAGTTAAAAAAAATTAAATTTAAGAAAAAAGATAAATTTATTTTGAAAGAAATCACATATTGTAAAAACCGCATGCCACGACGCACCATGGCACGAGTCAAGACGCCTTGTTGTGAGCTACGCCTTACACAAACGCTACAACCATTATCATAACGACGCGGCGTCTTATGCCATTACGCGCCATGACGTACCTTTGTGAACACCTTGGTTCATGTATCGGTTTCATAATGTTCATATACCAGTTTCATGAAAATCAATAATAATAAATGTCTTCCAAAAGGTTAGATAAGATTCCTTCCAAAATAATAGTATTTTACCGTAAAGATTCAATATTGTTTAAGTGATCTCATGAAAATAGTTCGCTCTCACATGATCCCAAGTGTGTGTGTGTCTCTCTCTATCTCTGTATATATATATATATATATATATATATATATATATATATATATATATATAGGGTTATTCAAGGGAAAACTTGGTAATTTGTGATAACCGTGAGATACAATCTCAACCACAACTGAGAGGATAAATTAGAAAATTAATAATTTTAATAATTTTGACTTGAAGTTTTAATTAAAAGACATTTTAGGTATTTTAAAAATCTTATCTCTACTTTCTCTGATGAACCTTATTACAACAAACACGATGTGAACACAAGATATACAATGTGATACCTAAAGAATATCGTTATTGTTTAAAAAAAATACATACAAATGATTCTTATTATGATACCCAAGATGCATAAAATATGTACACTATGATACTCATTGTATAATTGTTGCAATATCCACTCTGATATCCATTTTATACAGGGTGATACCTATAACACTGTGATACCCATTGTTTACGTGTTCGCAACACTAACTTTGTGTTACCCACTATGATATCCATTGTTTACAACGTGTTCAAAACACCAATTTTGTAATACCACTATTATACCCACTGTATACACGTTGATACCCGATGCTCACTCTGATACCAATTATTTACGACATGTTCGTAACACCAAATGCAGGTCCCAATAATTACACGAGAAAGCTTTCAGGCTTACCGCTCTACTGGTTTCAAGCAGAGCTTTAGCCATTGGACCACATCAATCTATCCTACCTAAACAATAAGCCTTTTTCTTGTTAATTTTGGCAATACAAACTAGAAATATAGAATAAGAGATAGAGAGAGTTGTTAAATATGAAGAGAGAGAGAGAGAGAGAGAGAGAGAGAGAGAGAGAGAGAGAGAGAGAGAGAGAGTTAGTTGTTAAATATGGGGGGGGGGGGTTGTTAAACAATTTAATTAAATACAAAATGAGAATATCAAATTACTAATTTACCCTTTCACTTTATTTTAAGAAATTACATTAATTTTCTCATATGATTGACTCACATTTGATTTCATGGTTACCACAAACTATCGAGCTCTCATTTGATTAAACTTATATACATGTAGAGAGAGAGAGTCATTTTGGGAGAATCAAATATTTTATGAGATTCAATTTCAACCATAAATCATATTAAATCAGTGATTAAATTAAAAAATTACTAATTTGGACTAAATTTTTTAATAAAGGGTAATCTAGGCATTTTGCATATCTTCTAACTAATCTCTCATCTCTTCTAATTTCTCTCTCCTATCCAACTAAAAGAATCGGACCAATACATTTTGACCATTTGTCAACACATATTTTATCTAAATCAATATTAACATCATATAAAAACTAGGGTTTTGGTATACAAATTTTTGACTTCCAAGAAATCATAATTCAAAATATAGATCTAACACCAAGAAATATTATACATTTTTTTGAAGAACATAAACATTAATTTCAATAACACTATGAGAAAATAAATTTAGTTAAATGTTTACCGGATAAGTGCTTAACGTAAGTATTCAACACTATAATTTATTTTATTGGGTAATATTGTAGTACATCAAAATGTATCATATGCAACACTATCAAATTGTTTAAGAAATAATAGTAATTATCTCAAATGATTAATTTAGATGTCACAATTTATATTGTTACCATTTGATTACAAGACATCATTTTGTTTAATAATTAACCTGGATATCCAACCCGATATGCGAGCCGATTAATCCAAAGGCAACCACCTGCTTTGCAGATAGAAGTCACCGTATTTGAATCTCCATGGCCACAAAGAGATTTTTATTCCTCATTGGATTTGAAGTTGAGATCTTCTGGTATTTTTGACCTTTAAAGTCAAACTTAAACCAATCAAATATCAACTTATGGTTAAGACATCACTTTTTATGCCCAAACTAAATTGAAATATGAAATATGCTTTTATTGCTGGCAAGTGGCAAAGTACAAAATGAGTAGGTAAACCGTAAACTCATGAAAAGAGTGTGCACTACATTGAACATGAAAATGGATACTTCAATGCAACAGTTGTTACTACCGGGACACGGCGGCGCCGGAGTCTATAATCCTACCGTCTCACATCCTCCCCCAAATCCAAATGGAAATTAAGAAGAAGAACAGTCATGCTATTAAACTTCAGTAATATACAGACACACACACACACATATTATATGTATGTATATTCAGTAATATATAATTATCTAGTGATGTGAGAAATAAACGACTGTAACTGCAACGAAGAAACACCACCTTCTCTGACGGACGTTTTCAAACCGCCGCCCATCTCCACCGCCCTCTTCCTTATCTCCTCCCCTTCCTTCGTACCCATCAGTCTCTTAACTGCTTTTTCCACATCCGCTGCCACCACCACCTCATCTCGCCACGCCCAATCTTTAACAGCCAGTCCAACTTTCAGAATCTTGGTAACAAGCACCGCGTTGGTCGGCTGGTCGGAATGCATTGGCCAAGCCACAATCGGCACACCCATTGAGATGCTCTCCATACATGAGTTCCATCCACAGTGACTCATGAACCCACCTGTAGCCGGGTGCGCCAAGATTTCGAGCTGAGGAGCCCACTCTCGAACCACCAATCCTCTCCCTTTGATTCGATCTTCATACCCTTTTGGCAATTCGAGTCGAGTAATATGGTCTCTGAACACATTACCTTTGTCGGCATCTCTCATCACCCATATAAACTTTTGTTCGCTCATTTCCAAACCAATTGCTAGCTCTATGATCTGTTCTTTTGTCAAGGATGTGGTTGTTCCAAAGGACACCAATATTACGGTATTGGATTCTTGCTTATCAAGCCATTTAAGACATCTGTAGTTTGTATCTTTGCCTCTTTTTGTTGTCTTTTTAATGTCTATCGGATTAAAAGGGCCAAGAGCCCATAGTTTTTTGTTTCTTTTTTTCTCCTCGTTTTCGAGGAGTTCCAACATGGGTTGCTCGATAATTTTGGACGAGTTGTAGATGCGACCGGAGTTGAGTTTTGCATACTCGTGTTGCATAGAGGTGAACTTCTTGAACTCTGAGGTGAAACAACCCTCAAACGACAAGTGATCTTTGCTTATTGTTTGTGGTTCGGTTAGCTTGTCGAGTTGCTTCCGAATGGTTCCCAAAGTGTACATGGACATCGTGAACGCCGACACGCTGTGAAAGGTGTAGGATTCTGAGTTGGGAAGGGAGACAAAGTCTTGAATGACGGAACCCATGAGAGAGTCATGGATCACGACAAGGCGGTGAGTGGTGTAGGAGAGTTTGCGGAGGAGGGCCGCGACGGGGTGGCGGAGATGGACGACGGCTTCACATAAAGGCTGGAGGTGGGAAGGGAATTTGGTGGTGGAGTTAGGGTTTGGCGGAGGAGATACAAAAGGAGGGGTTTGGAACTCATGGAAGTGGATGCTGGTGACGGAGAGTGGATCCCATCCTTGGACCCGGAGCTTCGCCTGGCGGCAATGGATGGTGGTGCTGACGAAGTGGACGGGGATGTTTTGGTCGGAGACGAGACGGGAAAGGTGGAGTAGCTGGTTGAGATGACCTTGCAGTGGAAGTGGAACCATCACTACTGCTGCCGGAGTACGGTTTCTATCGCCGGCGGCCATTTTAGGTGTCACAGTTGAAAAATGAAGCGAGTTGTGTTTAGTTGGTGGGGTTTTTATAGTAACGTTTTTGATGGGGTCGCATGTCTGGTGACGCAATATTGAATTCGAGTGAAATTAAATCGATGGGTGATAAGTGTTTGACCGAATATCAAAAAAAAGGTCAGTTGTGGATATATATTGCTCTTCATTTGCTTTTCACACGTGATCGATCGGAAATTAAAAATGGTGGCCACATTTCAAGATATTTGATACCATAAAAAGTAGCCACGTTTTAAATATTTTATAAATCAAACCTATTCATTTATCAAAACTCCTCATGAGGATATGTTACTTTTTAAAATTTACTAGAAGGGTGCAAGTATAATGTAATAAAATACATCTTCATTTTAATGTTTTGTTTTATTATTTATTTTAGTCGATGTTATAATATAGTTTTATGTTATTTTGAAAAAACGATGATGTTTTTAATTTTGAATAAAATATAAATTTGAAGATATCATAAAAATTTGACAAAAATATATCGATATTAATATCAAATTAACTATTTAAAATTCCTATTTTTTGTGTAATTTTTAATTCAATATTTTTATTATAATTTAATTTAGGTTCAATAACGAAGTAATTTATATTTGATTTAATAATATAATTTTCTTATAAAAATAATAATTAATTATTTTGTTAGAACTCGATAATTATTCTAATTATATTTTAAATTTTTTATATTTTAAAAATGAGATGTTTATCATCTATTTGATTATGTTTATCTGAAGTTAGTTACACGAATTCAAACATGGAGCTTCAATAAATTGTATTTATGTATAATTTTCTTGTAATCTTGAATTTTAAATAATATGCATCAGTATACAGTACTTCATGCATAAAAATGATTTTTAAGAGTTTTTGTTAAATGCTTTATAATATAGTATAGATAATATCAACCAAATAGCCAATTAAAAAATTGGTAATATAGAAGTTCACACCATCTAAAATTTGTAATTAGGAAACACAATTAAGCCTGGCTTTTTATTTTTATGTTTGATTTTTAAACCTAAAAATAAAAATGATCTATGCATAAAATAGAAACTCGAAACTGTTTAAAAGATAAAAGAAAGATCAAGAATAGAAAGAGAAAGATTTCTTTGCTTCGATAGTTGAAAAGAATATTGTCGTTTTACTATTGAAAGTGAAGTGTGTGAAGCATATAGAGTTGTGGTGTACATACCAATTATCTTTTAGAGGGAGTTTGGCATCGATCCATATATACCATGCATGGTTCAAGTCATATTCGAGTTGTGTGTGGTTCCATCATAGACCAAAACGGAACCGAACCAGACAACGTACCGACAATGAAGTGGATGATTATCTTTTGAGTCACAAGCCTAGCTTGAACTCCAATATCCATATCTACATGAAGCCATTGACCTTCGGTTAGATCAAATGTTTTCATTCCAAATTAAGTTTCTCTAACTTGGATTACACGAGCTTTGATCCCCTCGTGATTTTATCTTTTTTCTATAACATGTCCATTTCATGTACTCGTCCAAGGTTCACAATACATTTAATTTAGGATTTATTAAAAAAAAATATAATCAGTCCAGTTTAGCTATTTATCGCCAATAAATCTGATTTATAAAGGGAATATTTAAGTTAATACAATTATTAATTTGTTGGGAGACAAAACGAAAACCATAACAATACATGTTATAAACTAACAATCTCCAAATTTGCAATTAATCTCAAACTAGATCAAGCTAATTCACAATTAACCCTGATGATCAATGAATTAATTGTTCTACGTATATCAAGATTCAAGGGGAAAATGATTGTAATGGACAATAATATATCAACTATTAGCATATGAAATCAATTAAGAAACCCGATCATAGAAAAAGAAAATATGGAAAGAGCTGACACCATAGATTTTTAATTGGAAAAACACTCGGAAAAGATAAACTACAGGCAAAAGACGTTGTGAATTGATATCATTTTGATGATGTTACACTTGAGAGATCATAATCAAAATTAATATAGAAACAAGTGAATTTTAATTGATTGTTGGTCCCTTAAGAGAGAGTAAGAAATTGATCTGTTGCTGAAGATAATAAACAAAACCCTAAAACATGGTTTAAAATTGACCAACTGTTGAAGATGCCTTGCATGCGAGCTTGGAGTTTTCATAAGAGTTCACCTACACTCTTCTTCTCTCTATGCGCTGCTATGCCATATGATCATGTCGTACACCACGATCACAGATGGTACCGTATGTCCTAATTGTCGGGTAACATGATTTCAAGCACAATGGGAAAATAGAACCATAACCCTCTAAGGACCCATATGAACTAGAATAAATCGGGTGTTTCGAAACTATGTCTCACAGTTAGAGGGACTTTGAATCACATCAATAAACGAGGCTTGATGCCTCTATGGTATCCACACGAACAATCTGAATTCTTTGCCTTCTTGTGATGCTAGTCACAGTTCAAAACTTAAAAATAAAATGAGAGCATATGATTATAGGCAATTGAGAGAGAAAATTGAAAGACCATTTTGTTGCATAAAATGTCATACATCTTATGGTTATAAGAAGTATGACATAAAACCACCACCATCTCTACACCTTACGTAAGTGTAAAAGTTGGCATACACCATCGCTGTCCTTCTAAGACCACCACTGGTCAACCTAGTTTATGCCAAACCTAGTTTGTACATTTAATTCTTTTCTCCTTGATGTCCAGATTGAACACAAGACATTGAATGCCTCATTTTCGTTATGTCTAATCTCTAGTTTCTTGATTTCCTAATGTACTGATAGGCAGGGCCGTCCCTAGGGGAGGGCGGCACGGGCGCACGCCCAGGGCCCAAAATTTTTCCTTAAAATACAATAGTAGTATAAAATAATTTAATAAATTAAAGAAACCCAAAAAATTGTAGCATATAATAAGAGGCAAAAAGAATTTAGTAGATAATAAGGACCCAAAAACATATCAATTAATTATATTGGAAATAAAAATAAAAAAATTAATTGATAATTCATTATATGCTATTGTTTATTGTCTCTCTAATTTTTTGTTATCTTCAACGAGGTCCAATGATATTGGCTATTGTTATCTCTATATGCTTGACTATTTTTGTGCTTCAACATTTCAACGTCACGATCATGTGCTTGCTATTGTTATATATTTTTGTTGGATATTTTTATTAATTTTTGCTTCTATTGACTATTGCTATTATCTAGTTCTAATTGTTTTTGTTGACTATTATTATCTATTTTTGCTTCTATATAAAATATTTTGCTATTGTTTGACAATCAATCTATTGTTCTTTTAATTTATGACGTGTTTATGGTTTTGTGATTAATCAAAAAAAATTCTACTAGATGTATTTAGTAATGTCTTTTATATATGTCATGTTCCATAAACTTTTAATCTTAACATCTTATTTTACTTGAGAGAAAAATAAGGAAAATAGAATTTAAATATTTTCATCAATTGTTTGACTTATGTATTTTTCATTGAGATTATGCGACACCACAAGATTCTATTGGATCTCAATGAATCATCTTTTTTCTTTTGTATTCTTATTGATCTTCATTTGTCTACTTGTCTAGAAAACCTTGATGATCTTCTTTATTATTGATTCTCATTGACCTTCACAATTACTTCATTCACACAAATTCTCTTTTTGTATCAAAATAACACATATTTCTTGTTATGAACTAAAAAAATTCTTACTTTTTATAAAAATTTATCAACCATAGTTTCTATATTCTTGGTTTCAAATTACCTAACAAGAAGTATGTAAATTTAAGTACTCCCTTATATATTTATAATAAAGATAAATAAGATTTCTTTCCTCTGTGAATTATTAGCATTTCTTATACTTAATTTTATACTAATGAAGAACAATTATTGAATTTTTTTCGTACTTACCGAGGGTCATTATAAGAAAAGTGAGTTTTGACAATGTGTTTTTTAGCGATGACATGTTTCCGCCATAAGTTATGGCAACAACATGTTGTTATATACTTTTTCTGATGATAAATGAATTTTTAGCAATGACAAAAGTCGTTGCTAAAAACCTTGTTACTTGCAGTGGGTCCTGTTTTTATATTCGCCCAGGGCCTATAAAATGTCGGGAACGGGTCTGCTGATAGGACATACGATGATACGTCATATCAATTATCTGAGTATGCATGCATTTTTTATTATATATTTATCAAGAGGCCTAGAGACATCACTCCCATCGTAAAATGAGGAACATATCCTATGTCGATACATGCTAGTTCTACCATGTGATATATAACATACCTAGAATCATTATGTCACCCAATTATAAAATGATTAGAATAAATGTCAAATACACCACTCATACACAACAAACTCTATGTTCCCAAGTCAAAGAACTACATGTACATTGACTACATGAGAAACACTTATGACACTTAAATGACATCCACTGCAATGCATACATAGCGAGTCACATCCGGTACGCAAAATCTCCATCTTATACCCATATGCATATTCAATATCTCTATATGAATCTCTCTCTCTCTCTCTCTCTATATATATATATATGCTAGTCATTATCATATTAACTACTTCAACCTTAAACACGAAATAATATTTAACTACGGACATTTAGAATATATTATTCTAAGATTATTTATTATGAATAATGAAAACACATAGTATAATATAGACATAATAAAATGGACAGAACCATTTTATTTATTTATTTATTTCATGAAACAAAACTCAATATTACAATCATCTTATGATTGGTTTTTGGCCATTCACTAACACCAATTAAAGCAAATGAGATCACATGAATGCGATGGGGAAGATTGTGTACGAAGGTCGTAAACCTTGTACCAAAATCCAATATGCTAAACAATTTTCTGTAAGTGACTTGGGCAATGTCATGGTCACATAACATAGAAAGAAAGCCAAAATTTGCCTGGATTTAAGGCACAACTTCACAATGATATATATTTCAGATGA